GGACATGCCATGTCTGGAATAAAGCTTTAGAAGGTATAAAAATGAAAGCTGTAAAATGCATCCTTCTTTCTGTGATTCTCTGCAGCTCTATGAACCTGAGAACCTCTAATAAATTATGACTTTCTTTAAGAGATGTGACAGGATTTTTTTATTTCAAAGATTTTGTCTGTATTTAGGACGGCACATTGAAGCTCTGGGAATTTGAGTCTGGCCGTAGACTGCAGAGCTTGGATCTCCGTCAGCTTGAAGACACTCCGAGTACTGATCCTGTCAAAGGACTGGTAAGAACATAAAATACTATCAGATCTTAAATCTACCTTTACATGTACAAAGGTTTAAACAATACAGTAGTTCAACATAAATTTACAAATGGCCTAAAATGACCATTATAAAGGACATGAGCCCCTTTTTCAATGAAAGCCCCAGGATTTAAAGTCCCAGAATTTGTATTATCTAGATAACAAAAATCCTGGGTAATTCGACAGCTTGATTTCCCATTACTCTAAACGCCCTAACCAATCAACCTGAGAGAAACGGCACTACACCTTCAATCCAGCAGGTGGATGTAATGAGAAAACACAACTGCTTTTCCCCTCTTACAGTACCAACCAGCTATGTGTACACTTACCTTTTTTGTTTTTGTTTTTTCAACCTGTATCCGGACAGAGTCATTTAATACTTACACAATTCGGTTAAAATAACAACTAAAACGGGTTAACATAATTATTCTTTTATTATAATAGTAACCTGGTAAATCTCTTATGTACGCCACAAACTGGCTTCTTTAGTAAAAACGTCTTTAATTAATGTTAGTTCACATGTAAAAGTTATTAATATGACTTCATAATCTTAGGCAAGTATTTGTATCTAGTAAAATCTGCAAACTGCGGTGGGCGTCTCATCCAAAAGTGGTGTAGGACATAGAACCCATTTACTTTTAATATTTCTTGTCTGGAACACTCCAACTTGCAAATTGAAAAGGACGAACGGGTCCACCCCTTTCGAATGGGGGTCGTTTGGCTTCTTTTGTTAGCCTGCAATGCCCCATACCTGCCTATTTCTCTGAAAGGGGGTTACTAAAGGGAATTGTTGGCCTGGCTGAATAGGCAGGGTTCCCACTTTAAAGGCGTGAACAGAAGACTGTTCTTCTCTACTAAAAAAATCTACTAAGCCAAGATGTATAAGGGAAAGAGGCAGTAATAAATGGCTCAGAGGTAAGATGAGAACAAACTAGTCTGAATTATCTTTCAGTGTTGGTGTTATTTGCGATTCAATTCTATTGGTTTATGCAAGTCAAAAGCAATATATTAGTAAATGTTAGTTAATGTGCTGTATGGTGATATGACAGAAACCAGATTGCACATCACTGCGCCTCTTATGTCTCATTATCTTCATGAACTGACTATAGAGAAGAAGTTTTAAAGTGCCCATTATCACCTGCAACATCTTAAAAAAAAAATCAAATTGTATTAAAATAGTCAACAGGTAGTGGTTTTGGCTGCGGTTGGCTGGAGATCCCACTCCACATCCGACTGTGTAAGCAGCCCCACACCACCAAGAAGGCCTGGTGCTGTGTAGCTTTGACACATATTTAAAAGTCTTGATAAACCTCCTACACAGATGAGTTTTTAAGGTTTACTTTCTTTAAGAACATATTTAAGTGTATTCTGTAACAAACCAAAGGTATGATTTTGTACACTCAGTTTTATCAGTTATTGCCGCCGCTGCAGCGATACAAGACCAGAAAGTACTACTAGTAGTAGTAGGACTAACGGACCACTATTTAATGCTCTGAACTTCCATATCAATGTGTTCTTTTGCACCTTTTTTTGTTCTCCTAAGCTGTTTACATTTACTCACTGCTGCACTTTAAATGTAATGAAAGTTGTACAAAACGAACATTTTATTTAAACAATAAAAGTTGGAAAGGCTACCTTCGCTTTACAAAAGTCCAACGCTTTAGGGTGGAAATGGAAAATATGCTATGTATTAATTCTTGTTCAATTAAAATTTTTTTTCTTTATATGTTTGTTGTCGGCATATTGTATATATCTACATTTTTTTTTCCAGAACAGAGCTGTGTTCTGTGTCAGGAGCTCCCCAACTGGCCGTGATGTAGCCGTGCTTTGTGAAGGGTTAGTGGTGAATAATCCCCCAAAAATTTGTTTGCTTGTCTTGGTGATACATGCACACAAAATTACCCAGACATTGTTCATGCTATTCTTCTCTCTCCTTGTGAAAAAGCCAAAGCAAGCATGAAAGAAGAGAGCTCTTTGTTTCATTATTTTGGTTTTTGAACCTTTTAATCTGATACCAAGACTTCAGCTGTTACTCCACCTCAGGTTCTTCCTATTGTCTTGCTTTTTAAAATCCCAGTTCCAATAAAATAGTGATGTTTTGTAAAAAATAAAAAGAGAATATGATTTTCAAATCCTTTTCAACCCAGATATTACACAGATAGGATAGTTGATGCAAAAATGAGTAAAAGTAGGTTTTGAAAAAACTGGGGCAGGGGCAAAAAAAAGTCAGAAATGCTGTTTCTAACAATTCATGGCTTGAATTGAGTATAAAAGGAATGTCTCTAGCATTTTAAAGAAAGGATGGAGCAAAGTTTCCAAACTTTGAACAATTACAATGAGTATTAATAAATAGTAAATCAAAAAGCCACCATTTTTCTAGAGGTGCTGTTCTCATTACATTTTCACCAGATGTTACTAACAATCGAAGCAATCCACAGATTTAAAAAAATCATAGATGTCCAGAAATTAAGTTATTTGTAATAAAGTGAAATGACAAAGGGGAAAAAAGCATTTAACAAGCTGAAATGTATTGAATGTTTTGTTCCAAAGCCTTTGTTGGCAATGACAGCTCGATGATGCCCCCTGTATGGAGAAATTAGTCATATACATTGCTCAGGTGTGATTTTGGCTCATTCTTCCACTCAAACAGTCTTCAAATGAAGATTTCCTGGTCCTTTTCTATGAACTCTGATCTTTAGTTCTTTCTATAGATTTTATTTTTATTGGATTCAATTCAGGTGATTAGCTGGGCCATTCTAGCAGCGTTATTTTCTGTCTCTGAAACTAGTTTAGAGTTTGCTGGTGAAGATTCTCAGGTCATAGTCATTCCAACAAAGTTAAACAAGTAAAAAAAACAAACCAATTTTGAAGACGTTTCTTTTGCCATCCAGGAAGATTTCTCGATTCAAAATGTCCGGAGTATTGTTAAACCCATATGTTGCTGAAGTCTCTCAAAAACTCAAGAGGAATTTCTCCAAACACAAAATCCCAGTACATTTCAATCCAAACAAGACCCTTCAACAGAGGCTAGTCCTAAAGACAAAACCCCCAGACCTAAGATGAGTAGAGTGCAAAGTGAGTGTTGTATGCAGTTCAATGCAGTGAGGAATGCTCTGATCTTTATATTGGAGAAACCAATCAACCCCTTTGCATGTCTCTAAGCCATAACAAGGCTTTTGTTTGTGCCACTCTATAGGCCTCGGACTCAACTCTACTTAAAACATTTTCAATTGCGAAAGCTTCCTGGATGGGAAGCGAAACGTTTTCACGTTTATATAGCAAAGTGTTACACAAAATGCAATGTTACCCAAAAAATTGTGGCTGGTAAAATATTTAGGTAGCTGTTACAAAATCCTTTCTACCAGCCATGGGTAAAGATTTTGAATTGCTCAATTAACTAAAAAAAACAAAAAAAAAATAAAAACAATAAAAACTTAATACTTATAAAGGTTATCTATGGCCTGTGATTTTTTTTCTAACTTCTGTATGGTTAGTATGAGAGTCCCTCACAAATTTGTCCTTTCTGTGTTTTAAGAGTGATGAAGGTTTATATGTTTACTCTGGATCAAAACGGCATTGAGAAGTTGGTGCCGCACAGTAAACTCCAGCTCTCCCACCATCCTATGGACACAGACTTTGACATTGAAGGACGGCTGTGGGTGCTTTCCGACTCCACTGTTGCTCCTCTCCAAGTCTTCAGTCTCACACAAAATTCCTGGGAGGTAAATTCAACCAGATAAATGTCTTGGAAAAACATATGTATATGTATATATATATATATATATATATATATATATATATATAGAGAGAGAGAGCTTCTCCAAATCCATGCCTCGGCTACAACACTGAGATCCTCTAATCAGCTGCTACTGGCGATGCCTAAAACCAGACTTAAAACCAAAGGTGATCATGCCTTTATGGCAGTGGCACCGACACTTTGCTATAACTTGCCTTGGCATATTAGATCATCAGGCTCCTTTGAGGTTTTTAAATACTCTTTAAAATCACATTTCTTCTCCCTGGCCCTTAATCATGTGTAATTGAAACATTTATCCTATTCTATTTCTATGTGTTTATGTATTTTAGCCTCCAGTTTTTATCTTATGTTCCTTAACTGTGATTCCTGTACAGCACTTTGGTCAACCCCGGTTGTTTTAAATGTGCTTTATAAAATAAAGTTTGAGTTGAGTATATATACGCGCGGGTGCATGTGTATACACACGTACGCACGGGTGCGTGTGTATATGTGTATATGTATGTATGTGTATGTATATATATATATATATATCAGATATTCATGTTTACGAGACACTAGCCACAACCAAACTTGCTGCTGAGCCTTCCGCAACAATAATCCCACTCCCTTGATAAACAATCAATCACATGTACCTTAAATGAGACAATGCAATTGTGTTTTCTTATTTTAAATGTAAGTTGTCGTGTTGTGAAAATGCATATTTTTCCATCTCAATTCAAGAAAAAATTCACTTATTTTAAGAAAAAATTACTTGTCTAGATTTTGATTTTTTTCCAGTGTGTAAAATTATGTTGGGATTTGAAATATTTTGAAACATTTTACAGTTTCTATCCATACTTTCAACATGTTATTGTAGTAAATTGTGACTTACACGTGTTTGGTTCTGCTCTTAGAGTGAAACTGGAAATGATAACCTCAGTAGAGTTACTGACATCCTCATAACAGAATGGAGCACAACAGATAGTAAGTGAAACCTAATTATTTTTTAACTTAAGTCTAGACCTGTAAAAATCTGTTTCATTATAAAGATGTTCATTTTAAAGTAAAAAAAAAAAAAAGTTAAATCTTTGTACTTATGAGTGGTATTGTTTTGAAACTGCATTTCACATACCCTTGCTTTCTTTTCATGACAGGTTTCCAGAGAATCACAAACCGCTTTGAGTATCTCTATAAAGTGGGTTTTGACAATGTCAACAACTACTTGCAGAAGAAGCAGCAACGAATTATTGAGCATCAGCTGAAGAGAGCAATGTCTCAGAAAGCCAAATGCAACAAGCGTCCAAAGGAGGAGTCAGATGAGGTTTTGATTAAACCCTCTGTCTGAATGTTTGTAATAGTAGTCTTAGTACATTCAGTATGCCAATTATGTTTTGTTTACCCTTCTGACTGTGTTATTTGAAATTAAGTAAGATAATACATTTCTCTGTTGACTCTAATCATTAATAAAGGTCGTCTTTGTAATACACTTCCTCTAATTGTTTTATGCATTTCTATGAAATTACTATTATTCATATTTAATTGTAGAACTGCAAGGTGTCAACTGGTTCTAAACTCAACTGGCAAGTCTGCACCTTACTTTTCCCTTCACAGCATTTCAGGTCACATGCTCCAACAACCTAGCAAACATTCAGCGTTGGTCAGTATTTCCCAGAGTCCAAATAGAAACTTCTTGCAAACAACTAGTTAGTTTGTTAGTTAGTTGTTAACTTCAGTTAAAGAAAAGGAGATCTGTGATGATCACTCCGCTGGCACTTTATTTGCAAAGTTGAGAACAAAACAGCCATATCCACTTTCACAGCTGTAAGATGCTCAGTTCTTTTCTGCCCTAGACTAAGTTTTGTAACTATCTTAAAACTTGTGCAAGGAGCTGTAAAGGAACTCGCATACACATCTAAACATGTTACACACTTTTTCAACAAACAGGCACATGCCACAAAAGCGAACAATGTAGCAGAATCACTTCACTATGAAGTATAACCGTTCCACCATTCATGATCAATAATGTGTGAACACGCACGAATAAAAGGGCGGGTTCAGGTAGCAGACCAATCACAACAATGAGCTCAGAAGGGAGAGCGAGAATCAAAAACTCATCTTACAGAAATAAGGGAAGAGTAAAAAAAGTCTCAATGAAAAGCAGGAGGTGGATCTAGAAACATGATGCAAAATATTGTCCTAAAGGATTGCTGTGCAAATGCGCAAGTTACACACCAGCAGGGATTAAAGTATTCTGGTCCCAGGCTGGATTTCCAGCTCGTAACGATTGCCCGTGGGTAAAAACAAAACTACTCAATCAATCAATAAATTGACAGTAAATAAATTGAAAAAGACAATCGAAATCCCTCTTGCGTTTGTCAGCCAATTGTGGCCAGATAGATGGATGGGTGCAATGTTGAAGTTCTACACGGAAAATCACCATGCAGCGTTTACGGCTCCATTAAAAATATATATATATATATATATATATACATACACACACACACAAAAGTTTGGGGTCACATTGAAATGTCCTTAATTTTTGAAGGAAAAGCACTGTACTTTTCAATGAAGATAAGTTTAAACTAGTCTTAACTTTAAAGAAATACACTCTATATATTGCTAATGTGGTAAATGACTATTCTAGCTGCAAATATTTGGTTTTTGGTGCAATATCTACATAGGTGTATAGAGGCCTTTTTCCAGCAACTATTACTACAGTGTTCTAATGGTACAACGTGTATGCTCATTGGCTCGGAAGGCTAATTGATGATTAGAAAACCCTTGTGCAATCATGTTCACACATCTGAAAACAGTTTAGCTTGTTACGGGAGCTACAAAACTGATCTTCCTTTGAGCAGATTGAGTTTCTGCAGCATCACATTTGTGGGGTCAATTAAACGCTCAAAATGGCCAGAAAAAAAAGAGAAGAGAACTCGACAGTCTATTCTTGTTCTTAAAAATGAAAGCTATTCCATGTGAGAAATTGCTAAGAAATTGAGGATTTCCTACAACGGTGTGTACTACTCCCTTCAGAGGACAGCACAAACAGGCTCTAACCAGAGTAGAAAAAGAAGTGGGAGGCTGCGTTGCACAACTGAGCGAGAAGATAAGTACATCAGGGTCTCTAGTTTGAGAAACAGACGCCTCACAGGCCCCAACTGGCATCTTCATTAAATAGTACCCGCAGTAGACTTAACTGAGTGTCAGTGATTGGGGGGTGCCCTGCCCCCTCCTGCAGTTACACAGGTACACAGATCCTCAGCAACCTGCTTTAGTTCTGTCAATGTGTTTGTTTTAATAATAAATGTTTTGGACTTTCCTACTGGCTGTCTCACCTTGTTTGTGTTTGGAGATAAATGTGGAGATACATGTATTAATGTTTTAAAAATGTTTTACAAATATACAAACAGTTCAGTGAGTCTTCCAAATGGTATCTCACAAAGATTTGGTGTCAACAAAGGTATAAAACAAGATTGTCCAATCTCTCCTTTGCTATTTGCTGTAGACATCTCTTCCATATCAATTAAAAACACTTTAATTCTCAAAGGCTTCAGGACTTTAATTTAAAAACTGTGAAATATTGCCTGTTGACTGTCCCATATCTACTACTTTAAATGTTCCTAAAAAATCCAATGTTAGATATCTGGGTGTGCATATAAAAATAAATATGATTTAGAAAATCTGAATATTTGGGGGAAACTTTACAAATGTAAAATTCTTCAAAAAGGCTTTTCAAATAAATGGACACACACAAATGTATCTATTCTGGGAAGAATATTTCTCACCAAAATTAAAAGTATTTCCAGACTTATCTATCCTGCATATACATTGGGAATACCCAATCCAGCAATCAAATATTTCAGCAGGATAAATTTTGACTTGTATGAAAGCAAAACTTCATATATAAAAAAAGGTAATTTAATTAAACAGTTTGAAGGAGTACTAAAAGCTATTGAATTTGACAGCATGAACCAGACTTTGTAAATAAACTGGCTTAGGTATTTTTTAACAAATCAAAATAACTTATGGTTCCATATTCAAAGTAAAATATTTTCAAACCTGGGTAGAGTTTTCTTCTTAGATGTAACTTTGTTAAACTGCCCGTTAAGCTTTTCTTCTTTTACCAACAGTTTTTATTATATTGGAGATTAATCCATAAGCATAACTATAGCCCACACAATACTTCCTTGTTGAATTGCTGTTGCATAAAAATGATTAATAAATCAATCTTCGCAAATATTTGGTTAGAACATGGAAGCCGGTGTCCGGCTTCCATGCCCGGCTTCCCAAGAAATACACTCTATATATTGCTAATGTGGTAAATGACTATTCTAGCTGCAAATGTTTGGTTTTTGGTGCAATATCTACATAGGTGTATAGAGGCCTTTTTCCAGCAACTATCACTACAGTGTTCTAATGGTACAACGTGTATGCTCATTGGCTTGGAAGACTAATTGATGATTAGAAAACCCTTGTGCAATTATGTTCATGTGTCCGGCTTCCCAAGTCTTCTATGGAGCTTCCCCTATCTCCAACACGCGGTCGAGTCAGTAAAAGTTCCATAATTTATTTAAAATGCATTTAAAAATAATTTATTTAAAAGGATAAGTTCAATTAAAAATAGATAAAATACAAGGCAATCAGGAGCAGCAGAGTCAATGGACGAGTCTGTTTAAAGGATGCACTCTTAGCTGGCACAATGGAGGGCGCGACCCTCTCTTCAACGTGCGGTTCTCTGCAGTGCATTGTCCACCCAAGCGCGCGGTTCTTTCCAAAGCGCGCTTCTCTCTAGCATGTGGGCCTCTCCAGCATAGCTGGCACCAGTGAGGGCACTTCAGCAGGCCACCCCTATGGCTTGCGATACTATGGCAAGCCAAGAATGCCACTATCCGCATTGAATTATCACATTACGATTGAAATTAACCCGCTAAAAACGCGCATTTTCCCGAAATTTTGCCGCCATTTACGTCCGTCATGATGGTACCGCAAGACGCGTGGATTTTACGCGCGTTCTTGTATGGACGTCGTCCAGCCATTGATCACGTACCAGCAAAATCCAAACAAAGGAACTTGAGATAAAGTTCTTCTGAGTATAGCTCCTCCAATCACATACGAGGTCATTGTTATACGGAAGGACTCGCGAGAACAGCTGCGTCTATCATGTTTTGTTTTTTGTTTTTTTGCTTTATTGGCAATTCCGTGTAACAATACAGAGTAATTCAAACGTCAAACAAAGATACACAGTAGTTGGTGACATAACTTTAAAAAAAATGAGACATAGAATGTAAAAAATATAAAACATAAATAAAAATAAAACAAGGGAAACAAACATATAAATAAATAAACAAATAAATAAAATAAACATAAAATAATAACAGCTAGGGGTTTACATATGGTCACTTAACTTTTTGTAGCTTCCTGTCCTAAACAGTCTTTAAGGAAACATATTAGAAGATGCAATATTGTATATGTGAGAGAGGAGTTGCTGTAAAACAATGGTTTACCACAGATTTAAAACTAGTAATAGCATAAAGAAATATTGCAATTCTAAAACAGTCTTTAGACTTTTTATCAGCAATTACTGTGGGTAGCACAACTTGTGTTACAGAAAATAGCAGACTTTGGAGATATGTTCTGGAGAATCTTGATTTATACCATACTACAGAACATTTCAAAAGGCTGCTGACTTTTTCTATGTTTATAGGTGAAAATAATAAAAACTACAAAAGAGCAACTTTGCTGTTCTCCATAAATGTTTGGAAAATTGTTTAAAAGTTTTTTGCATAAGGGCGTGCTTTGGTTTCCCAGTGTTTAGCGCACAAAACCCATGTACAGAAAGATTCCTTAGTCCTCGACATGGATGACCCGGGTTCGAATCCTTGGCCGCATGTCTCTCCCTCTCTCATACCCCCTTTCCTGCCAGCCTACTGCCAAAAAAACGAGACACTAGTGCCGTAAAAACTCCCAAAAAAAAGGCTCTTGCATAAAAGCTTCTACAACACAATGCTGTTGATGGTAGATTGTTTTGAAGGGTCAGACAGGAAAGCTTGGTAAACAAATCTAACATATCTGAGATGCCGATACCATTTACTGTGAAAGAAAGGACAACGGAGAGAAAATGTAGAGAATAATGTAGGAGTGCTGCTAGAATTCCAGTTCCCAGATCTGTGTTTTCTATTACTTCTACAACCACTAAAACTTATGTTATAAATGTACGTTATTGGCAAGTGAAACCCTGTCAGAGCTCTCCTTAGATATCAGCCCAGTTACAGTTTGCCCTGCAAAAATAATCTGCTCTCTTGAAAATCTCAAACTCTTGCCACATTTCAGGCATCGAACATAACAATTTTTTAGTGAAGAATCAACCGCTAGTTTTACCCAATCATGAAGTGTAATTAAATATATTGGATATTTTTAACTTTTTTAACAAAAAACTGAAGAGTGGGGTGTGCAAAATGAATCAGCCCCTTTTACATTTAGTGCAGCAAA